GTTGTAGGGCTTGAACTTAGGACCTGGGCGCTGTCCTTGAGCCTTTTTTTTTTTAATAAGTTTTTTATTGTGAAAATACGATACAGAGGGGTTACAATAACATGAGCAAGGTAATGAGTACATTTCTTATCAAGCATTGTTGCCACTTCCTTCCCTCCCATCTCCACAACTACATTCCTCGCCCCCTCCCTGAGCCTCTGTGCTCAAGGTTAGCACTCTACCACTTGAGCTACAGTGCCACTTCTGGTTTTTGAGTGGTTAATTGGAGATTAGTTTCATGGGGACTTTTCTGCCTGGTCTGGCTTGGAATTGTAATCCTCAGATCTCAGCCTCCTAAGCATGTGTGGTTTTTTTAAAATACATCGATCTTTACCTAGTAGTTCACACTGCCCACTCTGTGTATTAGAAGTGGCCAGTTGCTCTTCAGTCTTCCACCAGACCAGAATGAGAAAGAAAGGGAACAGGAAGTGAATGTTCACTGTTCTGGCCAGTCTCTCTCTTCTCCAAAAATGAGCCATACCTAGGCCATGCCAGCTTGATCCAAGCTGTTGTTTTTCAAACATCAACTTCATTATAGCCCAAGACCTTCCTGTGTCTCTACACATTTAGATTTTCCCTACACTGTAAACTAGACTGTTTTTGGTGAATTAGAAAAGGATAGTGCCCAGCTGTATATTAACACTGCCACTCCTGAAATTCCTTGGAGCTTTTTTCTCTTAAAACAGCAATGGAATTTCTGACAAAAACCCTGGAAAAACTCTGAAGAAGAAGCAGTTCTGGGATTGGTGAATCCTAAAGTAATCTGAAGCACTCCTAAATTTAATGTTGTAGCAGGTGGGTGGGGGGGGGAAGTAGTTGAAGGAATAATGCATTGTGCAATTGTTGGCTTAAGTGAAGATTTCAACACCTTCCCTGATCTTCCTGTTTTCCCTGTGAGTTTGACAAAAATTCATCAGGTTTTGTACTTAACCAGACTTGACCTCAGAATCCACATCCACGCCTGGAGAACGTTGCAGAACTGAATGTGGATTGTAGTTTGAAATCAGTCCAGTGCTTCTACAGCTCAGCCAGCCTGGGCTTGACTTCCTGGGAATGGGAGCTCCAGCTGTTCACTCACTGAGTCCCAGAGAGCATTGACACCTGCAAGGGAGTTGTTAGATGCAAGATGGAATGTGTGTTCAGTGGGTTGGTATAAAACTGACAGGTTTCCCACTACCTTTTAACTTACGTTGGCTTAGTATATTCATTGCTTTCTTCAGTGTAGGTATGTGGGAATGGGAGGAATGAGTAATTACAGGGTTAATCTAGGAATACCATCTCTAGGTATATATCCAAAAGATGTGAAGAGACTCAGAGGTATACGTACACATGTGTTCATAGCACTATTGACAGTAGTCAAAACATCATATCTACCCAAATGTCCATGGATAGATCAGCAAAATGTGGTATTCACATAGCATGGAATGTTCAATATTTTCTTTAAAAGGAAATAAATTATGGTAGGCTATATTACGGATGAACCTTGAAGATGCTATGTTAAGTGAAACAAGCCACATATGGATAGACAAACGCCATATGACTCATGAGCTCGTAGCCTAGAGGAAGGAGGGCTTGGGGATTAGTGCTTAATAAATAATTTCATTTGGGGAAGATGAAAAATGTGGAGATGTACTGTGATAGATAGTAAAATGAATGTTCTTAATGCAGACCTATACAACTAAAAATGGTAAGTTTTATGTTAGAGTTATTTTATCACAAAAAAAAAAAGAAATTGAGAATAATAACACCTGTGTCCAACAAGATTACATTGATTGCTCTCTTCTTCAGATAGTTTTCAGTTGAAATAACTGTTTCAAGTAATCAATTAAAATATAATTGCCATATCTTTATATATTTAAAGTTTTCTAACCTGTAGATAGACGTAGGTCCAGAGGTGCTTACATGGATAACTTTAATCTAAAGAAAGCCAAATATAAGAGTACAAAAAGCAGAATTAGAGGCCTAGACAAGAAATCTGCCTTTCAGGCGTCTCTTCATGTATTTGTGCCATTTTCGTGAAATCAGTTAACTTACTAGTACTTTCCATGTATTTGCTTCATCTATGCAACCCTTTGGGCTTGTAATAAAGAGGAAATTATATGTTACCCATAGTGTTTATATCTACACCTATGTATAGAAACAACCAAAGCATCGATCAAATGTGGTAACTAATCATGTAATATCTGAGCTAAAACAATTGCCTTAGCGTTATTTAGTAAATCAAGCATCCTAATTAAACTTGAAACTGAAGTACCATCAAATTCACTAATGGAATTTTATAATTTGCTCTTTATTGTGAATGACTTGTATGTTTAATTTTAAAAACAAGAATAAAGCCATAGAGACTGGAAATGACAGCAAAACACTGAAAGACTACATGTGCTGCTTTAGACATAGGTGGTAAGAGATGGTCCTTTGCATGTCATTTGCATATCAAGCGTATTTCACTACCAAGCTCTGGCTTAGGGTTGATACTCTGGAATCAGATCATACTTGTAGAAACCTTGGACCTCCTCCTCCATCCCAGGAAGTGTTCTGCCTGACTTGCTTGTTATAACATGAGTTGGAGAAGATGGCTAACTCTTGTTCCTACCACATGGATTTCAAAGGTCTTGCAATGCCTGATATATTTTTGCCACCTCTGAATTAACTCTGAATAACTAGGTAAATGTAGCATGTGACAAATTGTCTTAAATTTTATTTCTTCTGGACCAATTTCTCTTTGAGGCTATAAGCTTCTTATAGTCTATGATTTTCTTTCTGGAAAAAATTGCTTCCTTAAAACTTGTGTTTATATGTCTGTGACGTATACTATTAATAGATAAATATATAAACAAATAACGCCATATAACACTCTATATATATATACATATATCCTCAAGCATTAGTCATATTAACCATTACCAGTCAGATTTCTCTTTTGCCACAAATTCTTTTTTTTTTTTTTTTTTGTCAATCATGGGCCCTGAAATCTGGGCCTGGGCGCAGTCCCTTAGCTCTTCAGCTCAAGGCTAGCTCTCTACCACTTGAGCCACAGCGCCATTTCCGGCTTTTTCTGCTTATGTGGTGCTGAGAAACCAAACCCAAAGCTTCATGTATGCATGGCAAGCACTCTACCACTGAGCCACCTTCCCAGCCCCTGCCACAAATTCTTAATTCATATAAGCAAAGTTATGGGAATATCAGAAAATTCTACTTGCCATGTTTCATACAGGAAGACCATAGGGATTCTCCTTGGAAGAGAATGCTAGCCTGCCACATTCTCTGCTGGCTTCCTTTGGGATGAAATAATATGTCTCACACATAAGCCATATTAAATAGAACAGAACTCACGCAACTGAAATGGAAAAAAAGTTTATTATATCTTTTATATTCAGACTGTTATTTGTATTTTATATTTATGGGATTATTAAAAAGCAGACTGATGCAGACAACTTCTAAGTCAGCTTGCAGAAAATTCAATTTCTCCTATCTTTGAAATGAAATTACAAGAGAATTACTTATTTTGGTGCTACTGGATTTTGAACTCAGGGTCTAAAGCTGGTTAACAAGTGCTGTACTAGTGAGCCACATCTCCAGCCTTTTTTTGCACTGATGAATTGGTAATAGTGTCTTGCGGGATTTTTGTTTTTGTTTTTGTGGGGGCTTTTTTTTTGGCTCTGGCTTGCACCTAGACCACGGTTTGCCTGTTCTTGTTCTTTACATCTGTGTGCGTGAATCCTGGGGTTTGAACCCAGGGCCTAGGCTCTGCTCCTTTTTTTGCTTTTATTATTTGAATCACAGCTCCACTTTCAGCTTTTTTTTTTAACCTTTTCAGACTAGTTTATTTCAATCAGCATATGAGTTGAAAATTTCTGTCTTTCCTGCCTTGATGTCTCATTTGTTAAAGTACTTAATTATATTTTTTAGTGTTTTGACATTTCATAATTATTTGTCCATGCACTTACTAAAGAATGTCATTTCCCAATTTGGGGCAATTATGGATAGAGCCCACAGGTAGACAATTTTGTGTGGACATAAAATTTCATTATATTTGGATACATACTGAGGAGTATAATTGCTAGATTATTTGGTGATACTATTATAAGAAACTGATAGGCTATTTTCCAAACTGGCTTTATCGGGGCTGGGAAGATGGCTCAGTGGTAGAGGGCTTGCCTTGCATGCCTGAGGCCCTGGGTTTGATTCCTCAGCACCACATAAGCAAAAAGAAAAAAGCCAGAAGTGGCGCTGTGGCTCAAGTGGTAGAGCGCTAGCCTTGAGCTGAAGAGCTGAGGGACAGCACCCAGGCCCAGAGTTCAGGCCCCACGACCGGACCCTAAACAAACAAACAAACAAACTGGCTTTATCATCTTGCTTTTCTACCAGCAATATTGAGAGTTCCCATTTCTCCACATCCTCATACCTTTTGGTAGTGTTTCCCACTTCTGGGCATTTACCCAAATGACCACAATCAAGACTACACTAAACCTACCAGAACAACCATATTCATGGCAGCATTATGTACCATAACTAAGATATTGACTCAACCCAGATGCCTGTCCGTAGACATATGGATTAAGAAAATGTATAGATACAATGAAATTGTGTGCTTCCGTCAGAAAGAAAGGTATTACCCCCCTCATAAGGAAATGGAAAGACTTGGAAATTTTTATATTAAGTGAAGAAAGCCAGACCCAAAGAAACATAGTCTGCACAGTTTCCCTTATTTTTAATAGCTAGAATATGTCTATGATATTCTTAGCAGAGGATCACAATAGCTTTTTGGTAGTTTATTGGAGATAAGAGTTGCACAGACTTTTCTGCTTGAGCTGGCTTCCAACTTTGATCTTCAGATCTCAGTCTCCTGAGTAGGGTTACGGGTGTGAGCCACTGGTAACCAGCTTGTTTTTGTTTTCCATAAGGGCTGGGGTGACAGGTACATACCATGCCCAGCTATTGATTGAGAAGATGGTGTGTGCCTGGACAGCTCAAACTGCAATCCTCCAGAGCTGTTTCCCAGATAGGTAGAACTTAAATGCTTGAGCCACTAGTGCCCAGCTTGAAAGAATTACTTTGACTCATCTTACTTGAAATGTTTCTCCCCTCATATTGAAAAATATGTATCATTAGGCCACAAATATCTTGGGGCAAGTTGCTGAGGAAGGAGAAGACTTTGCTAGAAGATTTCCAAGGCCTTGCCTGGACTCCATAGGAGAGTGCTGAATCTACTGAACTATCACGTTCCGGGTTCTGCTACGAATGTGTGCTATGCATTCAACTCAAGAGGTGAGTGGTAGAGGGACCAACCTCTTTTGAAGTTACAATGAGGTGGGCCAGCCTTTTTCATGTAAGGCTTTTTAAAAAGCTGTGGTCTCAGTGGAACTACTCTCAGGTTTACTGTGGATAGTCATGGGGAAAAGTAGGTAAGAAACAAAGCTCAAAACAGGAAGGAAGGAAGGAGGGAGGGAAGAAAGGAAGGAAGGAAGGAAAGGAAAGGAAAGGAAGGGATGACAGAGCAGTCCACCATCACCACCACCACCACCCCGCACCCCAAGCTCTATTGTTGACTGAAATGAGAGCCTTAAAAAAATTCTGCAAGTTATATTGGTAAGAGCCCAATTTGAGAAATCCTCATAACCCAAAGGAAAAGGAGTTTCAATAGGCATAGAAGTCATTGAAAGTAAAAAGCAGTTGACACTTTATTGACCAAGTTCACATTCCAAAGTTAGACTTATTAAGAAGATAAAAAGATTGCAAAGTTTACCTATGGGTCTTTCTTCCTCTAGAAAGTTCCCTGGCTTGCTTCTTCTTCCTTGGGTTGGGATGGAATAATTAGCAATGCAATGCAATCCTCACTTCCAGCAGCCTGTAGACTCCCCCCACTGACTCTCCTTTCTCCAGACTAAGAGGCAAGTTAGAGGGACAGCACATTGCAGTGAGTAATAGCCCCAAACTCATTTGCCATTCTTGCTTCCAGGTCTCTGGCATGAGCACAGGAACTATTGACAGATATGCTCGGTCTGTGTTTCTCAGGCCTAAGATGGGAAATCACTATAAAAGGGAAATAATTAAATACGCTTTAGCCCAGCATGTTAAAAAAAATAATAAAGTAGGCTTGGACTTGTTAACATGCAAAGTGTGTAGATCTGGAAATACAGCTATTAGTATAGCACTTGGGCCCTTAATTCAAACCCAGGGCTGCCAACAAGATAAAAACAATGTTTGGCATGTGATAAAGATACTATTGCATGAAATCTAGTTCTCTGCTTGTGGATATGTTTGTGGATTTGTATATTAGGGCACAACTGTACTTTTCCAACTGATTTTTGGTTAAAATCTCAAATTTTGAAGGAATAGTAATAATAGCTATATTTAGTGAGTGATTTTTTTCATGGAGAAAGGAATAAGTTTGCCTTGTGTTTTATTTGTTTTAAAATGTTCATGGCAAACCTGAACTCTCTGCTTCACTCCATAATGGTCTAGATAAGGTGCAGACGTTGTGAGTAAACATAAAATACTTTCCTAGCAACGTACCAGAATAATTTTATATCTGTTGAATCTAATGATAGAAACATTGGCTTGTAGTCTTTTTAAAATATCCTGACAGTTTTTATTGTTATTGTTATTTATTTTTATTGTTATACAGAGGCATTACCATTTTGTAAATTAAGTAATGAGTAGATTTCTTTCTGGACAATGTTACCCCTTCAATCACTTTCCCCCATTTTCCTGCCTCCCATCCTTGCCCACAAGTTGCATAGTTCATTTTTCACATAGTCTCTACAGAGTATCATGGTATTTTATTTTACACACATCAGCCCATGATGGATTAGAAATAAGAATAGCCTGTCTCTTCCATGAGTAGTATGAGCAACACTGATTTACACCCAGCAGTATGAACACTTTTGGCCTTTGATGCCCCTTTTGTCCTTTAGAAATGCCAGGTAGCCACAGCTGCCCCCTGGAAGTGGCTGATTAACAGTGGGAAAGGGGTTACTGTGCTACCAGCTGTAAAAGAAGGACCCTTGATTCTAAAACCTACTCCCCTTAAGCATGGCTAATGGACCAGGCACTAGCATCACTGAAAACCTGCAGCCTTTATTGATTTTGGAATTTGCAGGATCAGGATTTGGGGTGAAATGTCTGCCCTCCCCTCTGGGAATACAGAAAAGGCTCTTGCTTTGTAAAACTGCCCCTATGAGAAAGTTCAACTGAGAACAAGACAGAGCAGTAGAAGCAGGCTGATGCTACTGAGGTCTGTGAGACCATAGGGCTGGGTAAAGGTAGCCAGGCATCTCCTTTACCCGCAGGCTCTGTGGAGGGAAACGCGCCTCATAAATCCTTCTGCGGTGCTTTGTGTCAGTCCTCAGGTCTGTGAGTCTCTGGGTCTGTGTTCATCTTTTAGGCTTTCAAAGACTACAGCCAGGGAGTTAGCAAGGCTGAGAAGTGGCTGGAGCATTTGATTAGTTGAATGCTTCCTTATGTTTTCTTGGTTTGTTCTCATAACAAATGACCTTAGGACAACTCCTAGCAACACATGATTGTGGAATGTGCCCTCCTGAGAAATGACTGCCTGATTTTTCATCCTGACACAGGGAAAATATGTGAAAGCATTTTCAGACTCAAATTCATACGAGTTTAGATAATGGTAATTGTAAAAACTAGGTGTATGTGCTATGTGCCTGGTATTTTGCTTACACGTGTGCACACACACAGCTGTTTTGTTTTGTTTTGCCTTTTTTAGTTCTCAGGATGTTAGGATATAATCCAGGGCCTCATACATGCTAGGCAACATTTTATCACTGAGCTACATTCCCCCTCTATATTATTTATCTATCTTTTATTTTCCTTTTTGTGCCTGTCCTGAGGCTTGAACTCGGGACCTGGGCATTGTCCTTGAGCTTCCTTTCCTCAACACTATAGCTCTACCACTTGAGCCACAATTCCACTTCCAGATACTTTGGTATCTTTTTTGGAGATCTGAGCCAAGCCTCAGATCTCAGCCTCCTGAATAGTTACTTTTTAAATTGTTTTTATAAAGGTGATGTAAAAATGGGTTACAGTTACATAAGTCTGATAAAGAGTACATTTTTGAATGTCACCCCTTCCCTCCCTCACTTATTTTTTTAAGAGATAAGGCTTCACTGTGTTGCCCAAGGCTCAAACAATCCTCCTGCCTCAGCCTCCTGAGGAGCTGGGACTACAGACATGCATCACTATGCCTGGTAACATATATTATTATTGAAGTGCCAGGTGACACTCTAAGTGAAGGCTTAGAAAAACTAGGACACTTATCTGATATAACTTGGTTCAACCCTAGGTTTCTGCATTTCTAAATTTCCTGCAGATTCTTATGTGCATCTGTGAACAAGCAAAGCAACAATAGACCCCCAAAGTCATAACATTTTCATTTATTCCTTCCTTGTACCTGCAAACCTAGTGTCAGACTCCACATCCTTTTGGTCTTTGGCTTTGAATATTCATCTCCTATTTAATAATTCAAAAGTGAGACAGTATGTCTATGTCCTATAGGTCTTACAAGCTCAGAAGTTCCCATAATAATAGTAGCAAACATTGAGGGCTTGCTACTGAGCCTTGCCAGTTGTACCTGCATTATTTTCCTGCCATTTCCTCATTTCCTGTGCTAGGTTCACACAGACCCACTGCAATTCACTTAGTGTTTACTGCTTCCCTGCCCTACTGGGAAGCCAGCTCTGTGACTTCTTAGTTCAAGAATATAAGACCAGAATCTCACAGTGAGTGCCCAAATGTTCGTTGAAATTAATACACAAACATATAGGCCAGTATAACTAATGGATAAATATTATTCCCATCTATACATAAGGAAACTGAGATTTGTGGAAATTAAATAATAAGCTTAAATGTGGAAGTAGTTATTTTTAACTTCAAATTCTGTTTTGTAATATTATTTACGATTTACTGTTGAAATTTTAATAGAGATTAATGTGAAGTTTCAGGTGTCCAGTACTGAGTAGGTAAACAGTTGTATTTATTGAATGCATATACTCTTCTAGTGACTATACCACTATTAAAGTAAATAAAATGTCATTATGTTCTACCCTGTCATGCTGTTGCCCTGATAGAAGATTCACATAAATCGATACTCAGCACAAGACTGCTACTGCTTCTGTTGTTTATGGATTGTTCTCTTTCTGTCTGTCTTCCCACTGCCTCCCTCCCTCTCTCCCTCTCCTCTCGTTCCCTTTCTCCTTCCCTCTGTCTCTGTCTCTCTGTCTGGCTCTCTCTCATGTATTTTACATGATATAGAATCTTACTATCTGACCCGGATTGGCCTTGAACTTAGAATCCTCCAGCCTTAGCCTTCTAAAAGCTGGGAATATAGTCATGTGTTACTACATATGCCCCAAAGTCTCCAGCTACCTACTTGGTGCCAGATTCTGAGACTCAACTCTTCTTTCAACTTGTAGAGTGAGTCCCACTGATGGAGAGTTGCATTGTCATTGGCTAGCTGTACTATTTGAAAATTCTTTGTATTGAGATGAAATTTATCCTCAGGTACCTTCCACCCACTGGTCTGTATTCTGTGATTCAGGGTGTGACAGAATAAATGAAATCATTCTTTCACTTGTTGGTTTTTCAATCACTTACTTATCTATACCCAGGAGAATTGGGTTTCTCTTGTCCCAGCCCCTCAAGGGTCCTCATGTGGCATCTTTCTAGACAGTTTTTCCATCCTGCTGGCCCCTTCCGTGTGTTACTCAGCTTGTTCATGTCCTGATCATGTGCCTCATCCTGTACTCTAGGATGAGATCATATCTAGTATTTCTGGCAGTTATGTCACCCTATTGGCTTATCCACATCCCTAAATTCCTTGTGAACTGTTTTTTAATTCTGATAAGAAAGTACTGACCAGATGGACCCACAGATGGCTAATGACTATGAAAAATAACAGTGGTGTCTACAAACACTGTCCTCCATCACTGCACACCCCTGTCACACCCAAGATCATTGTGGTAAGATCAGCTTCACTGAGTTTTGTGTGAAGACACAGCCCAGATACTGCAAAACTGAAGGATTGACCCCTACCCTGCTTTCCCAGGTGCACACAGATACCAGGCCAGCCACCAAAGATGTGTGCAGACGACCTAACACCAGCAGGGAAATGTATCAACATTCTCTTGTGGGCCCAACTGAAAAGCCCCCACGTCCCTAGACCTAATGGCTTTTTCATTAACCTCTGCCTCCTTGCTCAGGCTTCATAAAAACATGACTCCTGTCCCAGCTCTTTGCAGTCTCCACACCTGTGGGAAGGCGATGCCCCTCACTGCTCTATATCAATGAACAGTCCTCACCTGGGGACGATCGAGTACAGCCTGTTTCCTTCCTTTCTCCTCCATTTTCCTAACATAAATTACCTACTTAACTTTTTAAACAGCCAAATGCTATATCTGGCTCCAAATCCCAGGCTTGAATTCTTACCCACCCCAACCTGGGAAATTATTGCTGATTATGGCATTTTCATGTAAATGAAACAGGTGTAGCCCCGGAGAGCTGTCTTTGTAAACTTTAGTTAAAGTGGCTCAGTTAGGCATAGTTCTAAGGGTCCAATGTAGTTCTCTCACTGAAAACTCAATGATTTAATAATTTATGTACATAAAACCAGTGGGGAATGAGGTGGGAATGCTGGGTATAACTGGCACCATTTTATGGTAGATAGGGAATTGGGTTTAACTGGCACCATCTTGTCTTCATGGTGTAGGAAGATGAAGTCCCACCTCCCAGGTGATGGGCATGCCTGAATTCCTAGAGGCAGGGGCAGGGACTTGGACCATAGGTTACTGCTCCTGTCAGTCCTGTGTCTTAAACTTGGGAGACTCAAGTTTCCTATGACCTTGCCCCCTGACCCTGACACTATCTAGGTGCAGATGCCATTACGCCAATGCCTTGTGTTTCCGCGTCTCCTGTCTCTAGGCCCCCCTCCAGTCACCATGGTGTTCCACTTTAGCTCTCCATTGGAGCTGATCTGATTTGTTGGTATCATTTTTCTGCTCTTTCTTTCCTCTCCTGCTCTCATGGCTCGGTATTCTGACAGTGTTGAGTGTATTCAAGGGGCTGCAGGTCTTTGTGACAGGAGTCCACTGCAGTCACCGGCTTTCCAATAAAGCCTCTTGATTCAACTTCTCAAAATGTGGCTTCTCTGTCTCTTGCAACTGAGTTACGTTACATACTTTACACAGAAGACATGCGTTTCCAGGAATTCTACAGGATACCCTTTGATATCGAAGGTTCCTATTTTCATTCTTCCTGTAAAACATGCAAAGGGTAGCCGCAAGCTCACAATTCTCCTGCCACCGCCTCCTGACACATGTATGTTACAACGGAGCCCCTTGTTTTGTGTAGTTACACGAATTTTAAAAAATCAATATGAGGGGAACTAAAATGACCTGGCTCAGAGAGTAAAGCTGGGTTACTCCATAACCACTTGATCACAAAGCCACTCTATGCTATTCCTACACTCACCAGCCTCCCTCCCCTGTGCTCTCCAGGAAGGCTATTACCCACAACCCTAGTCTCCCTTCTCCTATCCACTATTCCTAACCATAGGAAATTACTAAATTACCTAAGTGGAAAAGTGTAACAACCCCTCACCAAAGGACATGGCTATTCATTCAATTAAGCACATTAGGTATCTTGTGTACTTAGCTTTGGGCTACGGATCAGCCATGGAGGCAGAGTAAGGAGTCAGCGAAAGTTATTCAAGCTCAGGTCGGATGTGACCATCAAGTGTACTTCCTCCCCAGGGGAATGAAGAATGTCTGAATACCTGAAAGTGGTATGGACACCGCGGCTGTTCAACTTTGCTTTGCGATGCTAACTTCAAGCCCAGGATCCACCAGTTCTCACAAGTAATTAAGTACATCTTACGTCCTAATTTATAGATACAGATCTTTTAATAGTTCTTTTTTAATTAGCATACATTAGTCATACAAGAGTTCCTTATGACATTCCATACATATATATGATGTATCTACCACTCTCCCTTACCCCCTACCTCCTTCACAAACAATTGCAACAATTGCAACCTCTCCCCTTCCTGCTGGTGCCTCCCTCTCCAACAGAGCCTGTGAGGAGTCAACCTCAGAACTTTGTGTATCCTAGGCTCTACCACTGAGCTACAACCCAGCTCTTGAATGTGTGTGTGTGTGTGTGTGTGAGAGAGAGAGGAAGAGAGAGGGAGAGAGAGAGAGGGAGAGGGAGAGAGAGGGAGAGGGAGGGAGAGGGAGAGGGAGAGGGAGAAAGAAAGAAGATCCTCGGGGCCTTGGCACTGTGTCTGAGAATTTTTTGCTCAAGGCTAACACTTGAGTCATTGCTCCACTTCTGGCTTTTTTGTGGTTAATTGGAGGTAAAATTCTCATGGACTTTCCTACCAAGCTGGCTTTGATCCATAATCCTCAGATCTCATGCTCCTGAGTAGCTAAGATTATAGACATGAGATACTAAGTAGCTCAGGCTGGCCTCAAACGACTGGTCCTCCTTACTCTGCCTCCCAAATCCTCGATCACAGAATTGCACCACGACACTCAGCTCAGGAATTCTTCATTTAGGAATCCTGCTAATTCACATAACTAATCTTGGCATTGCATAGCATGTAAATGCTCATAAAATCCTTTTTTACTTACATTATTTCACTTGCTCCTCTCAACAGCCTGGTAATATAGGCTAGACCCAGACTCATTACCCTGTTCTGTAAATAGGAAAAATAAGACTCAGCCCAAAAGTGTTCTTAATCTATAAGGGTCAGAGCCTGGACACAGTACACGGGGCTGTGAGTCCTGTGCTAGCACTGTCATCCCTTTCCCTTTAGCCCTACCTTGCCCCATCCCAATACAGCTTGTACCTCTTTGCTCTTGCCGTGGCCATTGGTGAGGAGCAGTCGCCACATCAGAAGAGCCCAGAGTGAAGCCAAGAGGGAGCTGCTCTTTTTACAGGCTCCACTTGGTCAGTCATCTGTCGCCCTGACTTTCCACAGCACAGATGCCATCATCAATCTTCACCTTCACTTGGAATTTCAGTTGTCTCTACAGCACAGGATGCCATGTACGTTCTGGTCTCCAGGCAAGTATTCAATGCATTAATTCTCATGTCATGCTAACCTATTTGAAAACTTGTAACTTCGCTCACTTTCTCTAGGGAGGGCATTAGCTAAAAAATGGCCTTGGAAGCTGAGATGTTCCCGTGGGCAGGTCACTGAGGAACATCTGGCCTAAAGTTCACTCTGTTGCAAAAGTAACCCTATCTCCAGGATAAGCCTGCTGTGTCCCCTATACAAGACACGTGCTGCAATCCCAGATATGCAAGATGATAGTGTATACATCCATTATCCTAGCTACCCAGGAAGGATAAACAGGAGGATCACCATCCAGGCCGGTTTAAGCAAAAAGTGAGACCCTGTTTGAGAAATAATGAAAGTTAACAGGGCTGGACGTGTAGTTCAAGTGGTAAAGTACCTGCTTAGAAAGCACAAGACAGGGCTGGGAAGGTGGCTCAGTGGTAGAGCACTTGCCTTGCATGCTCAAGGCCCTGGGTTCGATTCCTCAGCACCACATAAGCAAAAAGAAAAAAAAAAGCCGGAAGTGGCGCTGTGGCTCAAGTGGTAGAGCACTAGCCTTGAGCTGAAGAGCTGAGGGACAGCGCCCAGGCCCAGAGTTCAGGCCCCACGACCGGACCCAAAAAAAAAAGAAAGAAAGAAAGAAAGAAAGCACAAGACACTGAGTTAAATTCCAGTACTGTAAAACAGAATCATATAGTGGGTAACATTTTGAAATTGTGGTGTTTTTTGTTTTTTTTGTTTTTTTTTTTCATATAGCATTATTAAGAATCATCCAAAGCCAGGCTCTGGTGGCTCACACCTTTAATCCTACCTACTCAAGAAGCTGAGATCTGAGATGTTCAAGACACTATGTTGAAAACAAACTTTACAAGTTGAGGGGAGGGAGAAGTTGGGGAGGTGGGAAAGGAAGGGATGGTAGCGGAAAAACAAAGGAGGGAGTAACAATGTTTGATAGGAAATGTACTCATTACCTTACTCATGTAACTGTAACCCCTCTGTACAGTATCTTTACAATAAAATATATGTATTTTTTTTAAAAAAGAGGCTGAGATCTGAGGGTGGCAGTTCAAAGCCAGCCTCAGCAGAAAAGCCTAATTAATCACCCCAAATAGGCTGGAAGGAGCACTGTAGCACAACTGGTAGAGTGCTAGCTTTAAGCAGAAGAAGCTCAGGACACACCACCCAGACCTTGAGGCCAAGCCCCAGGACTGGCAAAAATAAAAATAAAAAGGAACATCCAAGTATCCACATTGTGTATAGGTTTTGGTTTGAGTTTGTTAATTTCTAAAGTTTACACATTAAGACATTTTTATTTCATTTTTTTAAGGTTTAGTAATTTATTTTATGAACTAAAGTCTCTAACTAGCATTATAGAGAGTAACTGTGCCACTTCCTAGCCAGGAGAACTTGAGCATTGCTTAACATTACAAAGACTGTTTCCTCAACTTTAGAATAGGTGTAATAATTAGACTTTTATATCCTGTGCCCATGACTAATGGGAGCTTATTGCAAAGATGTAAAGTCCCCTATTGTGAAGCAGCTGTTCCAGGAGGTGTTTTTTTCTGTTTCGTTGTTTTGTTGACAGGTCTTGCTATGTAGCTCAGGATGACTTCAAACATAATGTTCTCCTGACTCAGCTTCCCAAGTGTTGGATTATCAGATGTTTGCTACCACACCCAGATTCACAAGATTGTTCGCAGGAGAACCTTTGGCCAAATCTAACATCCTATAGAAAACCATAAAGTCATATATCAAACACTAGTACTCCTCAAAAGACATTTGACTCAATATGAATTCAGTATCTGGCTGTATGTTGTTAAAAAATGGACTTTTCTGGGGTTGTGTGTATATGTGTGCCAGGTTTTAAGGAAGCCTAGTTTTGCAAAAGTAGGGAGACTAAATGTGAAAATGAAACGCGTATGTGTACGTGTGTGCACGTGTGTGTGCATGCATGCGTATGCATGCATTTGCTTGTGTTTCTGAAAGGTGTCAGTAGAGTTCAGTACAGAGCTAAAAACCAAAGTCCCCTGGTTCCTATGAAATTTCTGTGGCCAGAAACATTCAGACTTGGAGAACTCCCTTAGGGCATGTTAGGATACAGGTTACAAAGAGTCATCAGATAGGAGCAAAGGTCAGTCAGCAGGCATATCCAGGGTCCTTAGCCATGATCATCTATAAAACAAACACGAAGCATGAAAAGCTTGGAAGCATGAAAAGTTTCTGGCTGTTCTTCAGTCTCTACGTTCAAGATGCAGATAGGAAGTAAATGCATCTCTGTGTACTTAACCTTACAACTCTTCCCCTTTTATGTTTTTAGGAGAAAACTTGGTTAGGGTCAGGTTCAGATTGGAGAATGAGAAATATCTCCCACTGGGATGGGCTAGGTGTCCCTGAACACCTTGCCAATGAACTCCTGCTGACTGCCCTGACTCCATGCTAAGGTGAAGCCAATGGGAGGTCTGGTGTTCATTACTGCTTGCTTAGTCTCTGAATTGGCCAGCCCTGCCTGGCATTTGGCCCATTGGTACTTTAGAATAGACTAAGACTACATCAGAGGTCCTTTTTGCTCTCTGATGATGTTTTGATCAAAGACAGAAATAGGAACAATAGATTCATATATTCCAGCAACTTCTAGGCACCAAGCCCTCAATGCCCTTTCTGCTCCTTGACTTCCTTTTAACCCATGCTAGTAATTACCATGTTTTCTCATTTCTTGTGATTTTTCTGTCAGCTCCATTAAAGGGAAGCTCTTTCTGAGCAAGGACTGTGTTTTTTTTCTTAATATCTCTTTCCCCAAGTGAGATGCCTAGCACTTAATAGATGCTATATCAATGTTTAGCCAGAGTTCACGTGCAAGTGAGTGATCAAGTTGATAAGGAAGGTTCTACAGCCAGGTCACATGAAGAATGGGCCCTACTGTAAACAAAATAATGGATTTCCAAAGACATCCTTATCTCTGAAACATAATAACGTGTAGCTATGTTTGCAGATGGAATTAAGGTTTACTAATCATGTGACCTTAAAATGGGGAGATTACTGTGATTATCTGGATGGTCTAATACAATCACTGGTTCTAGTAAGGAGGTTGGAAGGTCAGTCAGAAGAGATGTGACACACACTGGCTTGGAGTGACATAGCCACAAGCCAAGGAGGCCAAGTGAGCTTAGAAGAGTGCTGGTGACTCACGCCTGTAATCCTAGCTACTCGGGAGGCTGAGATCTGAGGATCGAGGTTCAAAGCCAGCCTGGGCAGGAAAGTCCGTTAGATTCTTATCTCCAATAAACCACTAGGAAAGCGGAAGTGGTGCTGTGGCTCAAGAGGTAGAGCGTGCCGGACGCTGGTGGCTCACGCCTGTAATCCTAGCTACTCAGGAGGCTGAGATCTGAGGATCACCGTTCAAAGCCAGCCTGAGCAGGAAAGACTTTGAGACTCTTATCTCCAATAAACCACCAGAAAACCGGAAGTGGCGCTGTAGCTCAAGTGGTAGAGCGCTCACCTTGAGCTGAAGAGCTGAGGGACAGCGCCCAGGCCCAGAGTTCAAGCCCCATGACGGACCAAAAAAAAAAAAAGGAAGATGGAAAAGGTAGGAACTGGATCCTCCTTTAGAGCATCCTAGAGGACATAGCTTCTGCCTCTGCCTTAATTTTTGCCCTTTCAGGTCCTTTTCAGACTTCGTACCTCTAGACTATAAGATAATCATTTGTGTTAAAGCCATTGAGTGATTTACCCAAATGATCACAAACAAGGCCACACTAAAGCTACCAGCACAACTATGTTTATTGCAGCATTATTTACCATAGCTAAGACATGGAACCAACCCAGATGCCCCTCAGTAGATGAATGGATCAAGAAGATGTGGTATATATACACAATGGAATTCTATGCCTCCATCAGAAAGAATGACATTTCCCCATTTGTTAGGAAATGGAAAGGCTTGGAAAAAATTATATTAAGTGAAGTAAGCCAGGCCCAAAGAAACATAGGTCCCATGGTTTCCCTTATTTGCAATATCTAGTATAGGTATGAGTCAAGCGGAAAAAGTCAGATAATGTGATGTTAGGAAAACGAACCCTCAAATATGTATTTTAATGTTTTTGTTTCTTTCATGCATGTGTTTCTAACGCATTTATAAGATTATTTCTTTGTTGCTTTGTATGTCCCTCTCCCACAGTGTAACCCCCGCTTTCACTATATTTGATGTCAGTATAACATGTGGAGGAGACGGGGACAAACAAGTCGTTTAAGGATTCAGGTGGACCTTTTGCAACAATGAGAAGTACAAAATGTCATGTCAAAACCAGCTTTACAATGTCGGTGGGGGGGGGGTATGATTGGGTGGGAGGGAGGGGGGAGGCTGGGAAGGGAGGTGAAGGGTAAACAAAGGAGGAGGATGCAATGCTTGGTAAGAAATGTATGCATTATCCTGCCCATGTAATTGTAACCCCTCTGTACAGTATGTTCTCAAATAAAATAAAATAAAATTTAAAAAAAAAAAAAAAAAAAAGAGCATCCTAGAGGACATAGCTTCTGCCTCTGCCTTAATTTTTGCCCTTTCAGGTCCTTTACAGACTTCGTACCTCTAGACTATAAGATAATCATTTGTGTTAAAGCCATTGAGTGATTTACCCAAATGGTCACAAACAAGGCCATACTAAAGCTACCAGCACGACTATGTTTATTGCAGCATTATTTACCATAGCTAAGATATAGAACCAACCCAGATGCCCCTCAGTAGATGAATGGATCAAGAAAATGTGATATATATATATATAGATAGATAGATAGATAGATAGATATAGATATATATATGCATATATATGTATTCTATGAATGGATCAAGAAAATGTGATATATATGTATTCTATGAATGGATCAAGAAAATGTGATATATATATATGCATATATATGTATTTTATGCCTCCAAAAAAGAATGACACTGCCCATTGTTAAGAAATGGAGAGACTTGGAAACCTGGGGAGCTGCGGGCAGCAGCTGCAGA